AGCAAAAAAAAAAAAAAAAAAAAATTATTTTCAGTATGTAGGGCTCTCCCTAAAAATAGCCTAGCATATGTTGTAAAAGAATGGCACTTCATGAATATTGAATAGTTAACAAAGGTATATATGACATTAAGAATTAAGAAGATAGAAAAGAAAGAAAAATAAATATGTGAAAAACACAAAGTCCCTGTAAGAACAAAATAGATAAAAAGAATAAAAAGATAAAATGAAATCAGGGAGAATGTTAAGCATGTATCATTTAAAAATAACTGCTAGAAAAGATTTTTCTTTTTTTTAACTCTTGGATACCAGGAAAAGCTAAACAAGAAAGACATTTACAAGTGAAGTTTTAATAGATAAGTAGAAGTGGGTGGCGAAAGAAAGCAAAGAAAAAAAGTCTAGATGTTAAAAAATACGATAAACATGAAACTAAATTTAACAGAGGTTAAATGAGCAACAGTTAGATTCTAGAACTGGGTAGTATTCTCAACCAAAGTTAGTTCAGAATGCTCTGTCCCACTACATCTGCAGCTTGGATGTTCAACCAGAGAAATCAAGGAATCAAGAAATTGACATACAAAACCAATCTGCTTGGCAGTTGCTAGAATTTACCCAAAACAGTCACCATTTGATCAGTTGTCACCCTGTGGTTGTCTAATGCTTGGTTGCTGTGATCAGCAAAGTTGCAAGGCTTGGTTATTAGCATATACTGTCACGTTTAGTGAAAACCTGTTGTATAACAAGCTAGGCTGCAGTTCAGTATTATGGCAACTTCCTTGGGTCAAAGTTTATCATCTAAGTATAGAGTCCTGAGTGGGCCACTTTAGTTCAGTGTAACAATGTTAAAGAGAAGTTTGGGAAATTGAAATTCACAAATGTGGAAGAGTAACAATGTGAGAGTGATGACACTAGAGTTGAAAAGAGGCCAAAACTTAGCTTTTAATTTGTGTAGTGTATTCTATAAAATTATTTAACACTTAGATTCTACATATAATTCAGCATTTTGAATCTATCTATCTATCTCTATCTATCTATCTATCTATTTATTTATATTAAGGTTTTTGTCATACGGTGTGTGCACTCTTCAAAGAGAGAGAAAGAGTGAAAGTGAAAAATCACCCCCCAGGATGGATGGCCACTCCACAATACCTCGTTCTCTATTCTCCTGGAATTTTGGGCACATGTGCACACATTATATATTCTGAATCTATTTTGTTTTTTGACATAAGGATTAGTATTACACTAATAATTCACAAATGAATAATAGTCAATTGTCTTAACTATATTGGTTAGATACATCATACCCATATTTGGAGACACTCATTACAAATTTTCTCATATCTTTTTCTGTTTTGGAAATTATTCCTATTTGGTGATTTATTTGACTATAGATTGCAAATATTGTAATTATTACTTTAAAGGTACTATATATTTTGATGTCAGTATTCATTTTTTTTTTTTCAAAAAATGCTATTCACAAGCATTTTTTTTTTTACACAGAAATTGAGAATTCTCTTCCTGGAATTTTGGGCATCATGTACGTTGACCAGCATGGCTTTCAAGTGGCCAGGTCCAGGACTTGAACTTTGGTTGGTCATGTGGGAGTCCAGCACTTTAGCAACTGTGCCATCTGCTGGCCCCTGCACCAAGTGTTTTTAAGAAAAACATACTACATTTTTGAAGGAATTATCAAATTCTTTCTGTATTTGTTAAAGTTTAGTTTATATGTTTCTGGGTTATGTGGATAGGTGTATCAAGGTTTAATGTTTTACACATTTTTTTATGTACATTTTTGAAAGGGGTACAGTAAGTTTTTTCAAAGGATGCATGCAGTATGTATTAATTAAATCAAGTGTATCCATACATTCATCTTTTTCAACATCAAACATTTCTTTATGTTGTACACATTTGATAAACGTTCTACTAGTTTTTTTTTCTTCTTCTTCATTATGGCTAAGTATATGTGAGACATTTTCCCAATCTACTCATCGGTTGTTGCACACTTATGTTGATTCCATGAGTTAGATATTGTGAATAATGCTGCAATAAATGTGGGTGTGCAAATGTGTCTCTGAGTGATTTCTTGTCGTTTGGGAATTTACCCAATAGTGGGATTGATTACTGGGTCATATGGCACTTCTACTTTTATATTTTAGGAACTATCCATACTATTTTCTACAGTAACTGTGCTAATTTACAACCCTTCAAGCAAAGTCTGAGGGTTCCCTTTTCTCTGAAAACTTGCTAACACCTGTTTTATTTTTATTTTTTTATTATATCCATCTGTTTTATTTTTTTTATTATATCCATCTGTCTTGGGCTAGATGATAAATCATCGTGGTTTAGACTTGCATTTTTCCCTTATGATGAGAGAGCTTAAACATTTTTTATATGTTTCATAGCCATTTGTATGCCTTCCTCTGAGGATTGTTGGTTCAGCTTGTTCATTTTTAAACTGGATTATTAATTTTTTGGATGAGTTATTTATGTACTCTTTACTTGAAGCATAATTTGTCAATATTTTCTTCCATTCTGTGGGTAGTCTCTTTATTGTTTCTTTTATTGTGGAGAATCTGTTTATCTCAATGTAATATCACTTATCGATGTTCGATGTTATTGCTCTTGCTTTAGAGGTCTTAGTAAAATGCGCCTTTGCCCACTCTGATGTCTTGAAGTGTTTTCCCTGTATTTTTCTCCAGTAGTTTTATGTTTTAGGGCTTTATATTTAAATCTTTGATCCATTCTGAGTTAATTTTTAAAAATGGTGACATGGGGGTTTAGTTTCATTTTTCTGAGCATGGATATCAATGTTTTTCAGCACTATTTGTTGAAAATAATATTTTCTTCACTGGATTATCTTGTGTCTTTTGTTTAAAAATCAGTTGGCTGGGGAGCAGCTTTTAGCATAATGTTTATGTAGCTGGACTCCCATGTAGATGACTGTGGTTCCTGTTCCAGACCTGGTGACTTAAATCTCATGCTAGGCACATGTGTGTGCATGTCCAGGATCCCAAGAAAATGGAAGAGAAGGGGTTGTGGCATGGCCATCGCCCCTGGGGGAGGGTGATTTCTAGCTTTATTTCTCTCTGTCTCTCTCTGTGTCTCTGGTATAGGGCATGTGCCCTATAGCAAAAAATCTCTCAAAAAAAAAAATCAGTTGGTCTATGTTTTTGGATTTATTCCTGTTTCTCTATTCTTACTCTGTACTCTGTGTTCTCTGTTACATTGATCTATATGTCTGTATTTATGCCAATACCATGCTATTTTGGTTATGATAGCTTTGTAATATATTTTACAGTTAAGTAACAAGATGCCTCTACTTTATTCCATTTTTATAGTATTGCTTTGTGAAATGGGGTCTTTTATGGTTCCAGAAAATTTTTAAGATTATTTTTTCTATTTCTGTGAAGAATGTCACTGCAATTTTGATAAAAATTTTATTGAATTTATAGTTCATTTTGGGTGAAATTGACATTTGAGCTATGTTGATTTTTCCAATTCACGAACATGGTTATGTCTTTGCATTTACATGTGTATTTTTCCAATTCTTTATTCGGATTTTTATAATTTTCATTAACAAAGATTTTTCACTTATTTGGTTAGATTTATTCATAGATTGTGCGCATGTGTGTGTGTTTGTTTTTATTGTAAATAAAATTTATTTTTCTCTCAACTGGTTCAGTGCTACAGATTTTTGTATGTCACATTTATATCCTGTGACTTTACTGAATTCATTTCATTTAAGAGCTTTTTGATAGATTATTTAGGTTTTTCTTGAGCATAATTTGCAAGTAGGGGCAATTTTAACTTCTTCATTTCCAATATGTGTGTCTTTTATTTCATTCTTTATCTGTGTTGGCTAAGAATTTCAGTATTATGCTAAATAGGAATGGTGAAAGTGGACATACTTGCTTTCAACCAAGTTTAAGAGAAAAGGTTTTAAATTTTCTTCATTTGAATATGATGTTACTATTAGTTTGTCATATATGTATTTTATTGTATTTAAAAAAAGTAAGTTCTAGGGGACCAGCAGTTAGCATAATGGCTATGTCGCTGGACTCTCACATAGTTGACCGTGCTTCGAGTCCCAGACCCAGTGGCTTAGATGCATGCTGAGCACGTGTGCATGCATGCCCAAGATCCTGAGAGGAGAATGGAGGAGAAGGGATTGCGATGTGGCCATCCCCACTGGGGGGTGATTTCTCGCTTTCTGTCTCTCTCTCTCTGTTTGTCTGGCGAGAGCACGCACCCTATAGCAAAAACCTCTACACAAAAATTTTTAAAAAAGTAAGTTCTGAAGGGTCCCAGCAGGTGGAGTGGTGGTTAAGTGTGGAGGGCATTGCATATGGAAACCATCTTGGGAGCTTCTTGAGAACTGTCTGCCATCTTAGAAACCTTAGGCTTCACTTCCTCATTGAGCAAACCATGTCTCAGAAATTATGTTACCAACTGTTGCTAGGCAATGGGAGATCCACCCACATCAATGACTGGCTCATACTGTTGTATTTCATTTTCGAGCAACCAATTGGTGCCCACCAGCCTGTATATAAAGCACAGTTAGCTCTGCAATAAACGAAGACTTGATCAGCACCTCATCTTGTCTCCACTCTGTGTGTGTGTGTGTGTGTGTGTGTGTGTGTGTGTGTGTGTAAGTTTTATGTGAGTCCCCTTTTTCACCGACCTCACCCAGGTACCCGTTCGACTGTCCTGCGGGTCGAGGCAAGTGGCGCCCGGACGTGAAGCCCTGGAGTAGAGGATCAGGGTGAAGTGCACAGTGAAGAAAGCCAGGCCTGGTAAGAGAGGAAGGGTAAGTAGTAATACAGAGATTGCTTAAAGTAATACAGAGATTACTAACTTCCTAGTGTGCAGTTATGGGACAGCAAATGAGTAAGCATGAATTATTTGTTCAGGGGCTTAATGATGCTCTTAGGACACGCGGAGTTAAAATTAGGATTAAACAATTACTTTCTTTTTTTGATTTTCTAAAAGAAGTGTTTCCCTGGTTTCCTCAAGAAGGTACTATTGATGAAGTAAGGTGGAATAGGGTAGGTGATGCTCTGAAGGACTACTATGTCGCATCTGGCCTGGAAAAAGTCCCAGTAATAGCCTTTTCTTATTGGAGTTTAATAAATGAAAGTATTGGGTTCCGGCCAACAGACCCCAGAATTGCAGCAGTAGTTGAG